CAAACAACAGACTTAAGGCATTGTAAAGCAGTGAACCAGTATCACATAAACTGGGGCTCTGAACTGCTTATGTTTGTCACTGGGCACTTACTGCCAGCCCATTTTTTTTACTTAAATACTTCTGCTCTTATCTTTAAAATTCTTCAATCATTTAGCTGAATCCCAAACCTGACACCATACCAAGGAACAAATGTATTGGATTTGTGTGGCAAAGTTTTGGTAGTGGTGGGCTACAGGAGTGGTTTCTGTGAGAAGCTGTCAGAATCTTCCCCCATGTTCAGCAGAGGCAACGCCAGCTGGCTCCAGGGCAGACACGCCCTTGGCAAGGATGAGCCCAGCAGCAACAGTGGCTGTTCCTCTGGGATAAGCGAGTTAAGAAACGGGTGAAAAGGTGCTACTGCACAGCGGCAACTGCAGCAGGAGAGAGGAAAAACATGTGAGCGGAACAGCCCTGCAGACACCAAGGTTGGCGCACAAGGAGGGGCAGGAGGTGCATCAGGTGCCTGAGCAGAGGTTCCCCTGCAGCCCCTGGTGCAAACCATGGCAAAGGCAGCTGTGTCCCTGCAGCACATGGAGACTCCATGGCGGAGTAGGTGGATGCCCACAGGCAGCTGTGACCCCATGGGAAGTTTGCACAGCCTCCTGGCAGGACCTGTGGAGAGAGAAGCCCACACTGGAGCAGTTTTGCTGGCAGGACCCCAGGAGGGATCCACACTGGAGTAACTCACAGAGGACTGTCTCCTGTGGAAGACACCCTCTCTGGATTAGGGGAACAGTGTGAGCAGTCCTCCCTTGTAGAGGAAGGAGCAGCAGAGACAACGTGTGAGGAACTGACCTCAGCCTCCACTCCTTGTCCCTCTGTGCCACAGGTGGGAAGGAAGTAAAGACCTGAGAGTGAACCTCAGCCTAGGAAGATGGGAGGAGTGGGGGAAAACATATTAAGATTTTGGTTTATTTCTTATTATCCTCCTCTGATTTGATTGGTAATAAACTCATTTTCCCCAACTCAAGTTGGTGCTGTCCATGACCCAATTGCTGAGAGATCACTCCCTGTCCTTACCTCGACCCATGAGCCTTTCATTCTATTCCCTCTCTCCTGCCCAGATGAGGAGGGCAGTGATAGAGCAGCTTTGTTGGGTACCTGGCATCCAGTCAGGATCAAACTGCTACAACTACATAAGCCTATATAAAAGTATGAAGAAATGCAAACTTTAGTAACCCTGGACTGCATTTTAAACAGCCATGTCACCATAAAGTCTAAGAGAAAGAAAATGTTTTGTTTTCATTCACTAAAAAGCACTAACATACACAAAAATTCTAAGTCTTTTATAAACTGCAAGTAATGGAAAGTCTATCACTGTAACTGTAGCTTTCCTGCAGCTACAAGATCCTGATGATCCTTAACAATAATTTCTTACCTGGTCCTAGACATTATTCAGATGGTGAAGAGATTGAGAGGTGTCAAAAACTTCCACCATAAAAAAATGTAAGTCACATTACATATCAGACAACTCAATGGTTGTACAATGACAGCTCACAGACCAAAAAATCCCCAAACTAAAACAGTGATGGGTCAATGCCGGGACAAAGAAAATCCTTTCAACAGCTCAGAGCCGTAACAGTCATCTTTGTTTATATGAATGGAACTATTTTATCACAGTTTAATAACATCACCAACACCAGTTATAGATGAGCTCATAACATACTTGTGTTAACAACTTAGTCTGAAATACAAAAACCTTCATCAGCTCCCCAGAGACTGCAGCAACACAGTATACCTAAGCATAAAATAGCCAGCTTCAAAAAAATACAAATTAATATAGAATGCTGAAATATTTTCTTGTGATTAACACAAAACACCAAGAGCACACATCTCTGAACTAGCTTCTCCACACAGTACCGATTCAAGTCAAAATTCTTATATTCTACATTCTCTGTACCTCCTTCAATCTACCTAAAAAATCATGTTAAGTTTGAGAATGTAAAATAGGAATTTATAACTTTATCTCCTGGGTGCAATGAACCTTTACCATAAATACAGAAGCTGTGTAGGATTACTGGTTACAATTTTGTGAACTTCTCCTCCAAACACCAAGTACCTCCAATCTTCCCTCAAACATCACTTAGAGACCGTATACAAAGAAGTCAAAACCCAAAGAAGTTTCCACAGTCCTTGGATCCTACAGCAAAAGTCACAGTCCTCAAGGGCAGAAAGGAGAAAGAGAACACTCAATGTATGATTGTTATATCACTTAATACAGTTCAGAAAAGTGCTCAAACACCTTAATTGTATGATACAAAAACCTCTGTGCGTTGGGCTAGAGAGACCTCTGATCCTACAGCTGAATGCCTGCCCAGTCCCACACTCCAGCTGTGAGACTGGCTGCTACTCCTGGCGCTTGGAGCACAAGCAGCATCAGCACAGCTCCACCTGCAAAACGCTATGCAAACCCACACAATATAATGCTGAAAGGAGTAGTTCTCTGTGTAAACTCTATTATTTCACTACTTCCACATTTGCATGTCAGATGGAGAACTTGCACTGAGGACTTTGGGCTTCTTTAGTTTGGAGAAAAGGAGGCTGAGGAGAAACCTCATTGCTCTACATTTTCCTGAGGAGAGGACATGAAGAAGGAAGTGCCAATCTCTTCCCTTTGGTATCCAGGGTCAGGATGACTGGGAATAGTTCAAAGCTGCACAGGGGAGGCTTAGACTGGACATTAGGAAGCATTTTATAATGAGTAGGTGGTTAAACATCAGAAGAGGCTTCCCAGGGAGGTGGTTGGTGCCCCAAGCCTGTCAGTGTTCAAGGGGCATTTGGACAATTCCCTTAATAACTTCCTTAACTTTTGCTCAGCCCTGAGGAGTCAGGCAGTTGGAGTAGATGATGGCTGTAGGTCCTTCCCAACTGAAATATTCTATTCTGCAACCAAGTACAGCATAAAGAAAGTGGTGACTAAATGTAGCTTATTCAGGGTCTTTACTATTATCCTATATGGATTCTGACCAGTGTTGATCATTAAAACTTTTATAGACAATGCTAGTTAAATATTTTATACCTTCCTCAGATTAAAAAATAAACAAAAATCCTCTACAGTGACAGGAATTCACCAGCTTTTGGAAAGCTTTTAAAAAGTAAATATGTTAAAGAATTAGTGCATCTGTCAAAGATTCCATTTCCAAGACAAGGTGCATAGTCTTGGTTGAAGCAGTTAAACTTTTAATCAAAAGGCTATAATAAAATATTTGAAAAAGGGTTTGACACATACATGATTAAACTGAACTGTATTTGGCTGAAACAAACAGATAAAATCATCATTTATTTTACTATAAATCTTATTCTTCTAGCTGCAGTTTCAATGTTTTATTTACACATTAAAATGATGTTTTGTGGTCTGGTGGGCTGTTGGCTCATTGTCTCAAAGGTACAGGCGTTAGAGAGCAAGGCCAGTCCACCTTGCTCCTTCTCACTGACCAGCTGCCAACAGGCACCCTGTGTTCACACAGCAACACACTGCAGCTTTTGCTTCTTCTCCAAAGTCACGTTTATACAAGTACCGTTAATTAAAACCATTGTCCCCCTCAGACGGTTCAGCTCATCCCCCTTGGCACTAGCTGTTTACTTCACCTGATGCTCTTACAAATTAAACAAGACATTTTCTCCACACCTTTGTCCTTCTTTCTGTTGTCTGGACAGTGCACTGAGGAAACTCAGAAAGGGTGAGGAGTTCAGAGAAAAAACTGGGATCATCAGGAAACAGCATTTGTGAACAGGGCTAAGCCAAAGAACCAGGGCAGAAAAAAAAGGACACGGCTATAGCATGCTATCACTGCACAGGACCACAGCAGGGCAAGGAGAAGATGGAGGTGAGGGTAGGCTTGCGTATGAATAGAACTTTAAAAAACAAAACCAAACTTGGGAATAGGCAAAAGCAAAGAAGCCCTGGTAGGAGGAAGAGAAGGGGCAGCAAAGACTAGAAGGGAGGAAGAGGTTGCATGAACCTAGTCTGAGACTGTAAATACTTTGAAATACAGACACAGAAACTGAGAAGGGGGAATCAAAATGCAGACAGAGAAAATATTAGTGGCAATGGGGCAAAAGGCTTGTTCAGAGGGAAAAAAACCAAATCTGTGGCTATAAGAGTATCAAGAATGGATACCTAAAAACCTCAGATTTCCTTGTGCTTCCTCTGCTACTATAAACCACTTGTGCATTTCTCATTTAGTCCCAAACTTGCCAAGCCATTCTGTAAGTCTGTCTCCTCAGAGCTCCTTAGTTTTCCAACATGCAGTCCCAGTGCTTTATCAAAGACATGTTATTCAAACCCTGCCTTTGACTCAGAATGGAGGAAAACCATATGCAACAAAATTGTTTTTACAGAACGACTATGGACTGAGGACTGCTGTTAATGCCGATCATCCTTAACTTTTCAGTGCTTGTCTTTGCAAGTCTTAAAACGTTCCGATGACCTTTGTACGTGTAATCTGCCTAGTGCTGGCACTTAACTGCCCACGGCGTGACAGCGGAAGCAACCACGCCAAAGGCAGCGCGTAGGGAGCAGCGCTGCGAGCGCAGACGGACGCATGTGCTATGGCAGCGCTCTGTTACGTGGCAGCCGGCAGGAGGAATCAGCCGTGCGCACGCAGGCACGGCCGGAGAGGCGGCGGATCCGCACGGACACAACCGCAGCCCCGGCAGCAGGGCCCGCGGCCCGCAGAGCCCCCGGGAGAAGCCGCGCCGCGGGGAACGCGGGCGACAGGCGGGCTCGGAGCCGGCCACGGCCGCGCCGGGCCCCGGCTCTCACGCCGCGCTCCCAGCCCACACCCGTGTGGGAATGTGCTGCCCCGGGGCTCTTTGCGGCCAACTCCGGGGCCTGCTCGCTCTCCCCGGGGAGCGCTGGACGCTCCGAGGCGGCGGTGAGGGCCGGGCTGCCCGCCCGGGAGGAGCCGCTGCCGGCGGCCCCGGCTGCCCCTCGCCCTCCCCCTGGGGCTGCACTCACCACCTCCCGCGCCCTGCTGGTGAAGTCGCTTTTGGAACGGGCGGTGCCCCGCTTGAGCAGCTCGTCCCTGGCGCTGTCCCCCGTCGCCGCCACCCCCAGCGCCTTGTTGCGGGTCTTCACGGTCTTCACGCTGGCCTTGAAGAGCAGGGTGATGTCCACCGCCATGGCGGCCGCCGGTGCCGCCGCACGCCCTTCCCCGCGCAACGCGGCCCCGCGCGGCGCGTTCCGGCTGAGGGGCGGGGAGGCCGCGGCGGCGCGGGAGCGGCTCCGGCCGCGCCGGGCTGGGGCTGCCCGGGATAACAGCGCCCTGCCAGGAACGGGAGGGAACGGGATGGGACGGGAGCCGTGTCCCGGCACAGCCTGCACGTGTAAACAGCGCTACGTAAACGCTGTGCGGAAAATAGAACATGTACGGTGTAAGGACCCCGCTCTAGGGCGTCTTGCCAGGTGTAGCCAAGCAGTGCTGGTGCAAGGCAGGTTAATTAGAGTTGATTAATACATATTAACGAGATCTGCGCTGCGATCTGGGGCAGGCGCTGGTGTGAGGCTTCCCTAGGCAATGCCATCAGGTGTGATCAGACTCTGCTCTCTTCTCCGTGGTGACAGCGACAGGACCCGAGGCAATGGCCTGAAGTTGTCTCGGGGAGGTTTAGGTGGGATGTTAGAAAATGTTCTTTTCCCAGAGATGGATACTGGCACAGGCTCCCCAGGGAAGCAGCCACAGCTCAAAGCCTGACAGAGTTCAAGGGGAGTTTGGACACTGCTCTCAGGCACACGAGGTGACTCTGGGATGTCCTGTGCGGCACCAGGACTTGGACACGATGATCCTTGTGGGTCCCTTCCAACACGATATTCTGTGTTTCTGTGATTCCATGTATATCGCATGACCACTTATCCCTGTGTAGACAGAGCTCCCTTGTCACACCTGGAGTGTGCAGCGATGGTTTCCTCTGCAGAAGAGAAAGCTGACTTCCCAGGTCCCCCCATCTGCTGCTGTCCTGCATGGGACAGTGTCACATCAGTACCTGCAAGATGTATCACAATGCTTGTAATCTGATTCCAGAATAAACTGTGAAATAGCCTTTGTTATAGATGCAAATTTATTATAGTGTTCTGTGCAGTGGCCTAGCCACGTGAGATTACGTGGCACAGTGGAGAAAGCTTTTGACCAAATAACTAGTGGTGGTGTTTATATAAATGTGCTTATGCATACATATGTGCCACCCAATGCTGGGAGCCAGCAGACACCATGTAGTTTTTAACTGTCCTTTCATTGACCAGAAGCACATTCATTCCCTCACACAGTCTCCAAAGAACACAATTTCAAAATCCTACCTCACCCCAGCAGACTGAAACTTAATCAACCAGAACTATTTTTCCTATCTACTCCAGGGTATCAGGCTTTCTTCTCATGTTGATTACTACTCTGCTTTCAGTTCAGTTCCCATCAATTCAGCCTTAGCTGTATATTAGTGGTTCCCTCACAGTTATATTGTAATTAGCATTCATTCATACTTTGTTATTATTGTTCTATTTTAAATTGTGTTTTTATTGTGGTACAGATACATATTTCTAATTAAAGGAATAAACTGTTTTAGGTCTCTGTCCTCGGTGCTGGATTTTCCGCGAGAATATATTTAAGGCATTAAATAAGTGGACAATGAAGGAGATTAAAGATGTCATTCCAGGAATGCCAGCAGTGCTTGATTGAACCCTGAGCCAAATGCTTTCTCTTTCAAGATTAAGAAATTCAGTATAATGATACTTCAGCCAAGGACATGTTTAATAAGCTATGTGAAACACACACATAGTAAATCAGATCCTTTCAGGTATGTTCCCAATATTGATGGATTTTCTTTTCCTTGCGTTACCAAAACCTGAGCAGTCACATTTAATAAACTTTCAGGAATGACTTGATCATGCTGACATCCTTAGTCTTATACTCCTTGAAGACACATCTGAGGCATGTTCATGAATGCTACCTTTAAGGTAATTTTCATGTGCTGTGGTTCTGCCATCCTTATCATAATTAATAACTCATTCCACATGCACATTCTTTCACAGGCACTTGCACAGGTCAGTTTTTGTCAGTAGAAATAAGAAGGACACCTCTTGGCCCATGGTAGTATGCTGCTGAAAGTGTAGGTGGTAGCACTAACCTGTGGTTTTGTGCACATTCAACTATATGGTTTGTTCCAATATTTAATGAAGCAAAGATTTACACTCCCTTAAAGTATTTTCATTTAAGTGGCCATTGGATAAGAATCTACAGAGTTTTTCCATTAGAGTGCTGCTTTTTTTTACATTTAAACTGTAGAAATATGGAAGCTATTTTGACATTTTGAACTTCACCTTCCCTTCCTACTTTTAGAAAAAAAACAGTGCGTAGGTGATAGTGTCAAGTAATAGTTTAATTATTTTCTAATGAGATTTAGATTCTTTTAAATAGCTGGAATACTCTATAGATATTTTGACCAAAAAAAAAGGAATCTACAGTTCATTAAAGCAGAGTAAATTTTAACAGACATGCTATATTTTACCTCCTAATTTTGCAAAGGTTTATACACATATTAAACTACTTTGAATACTCCCACTGAGGTCAGTGGAACCTCACAAGGCACACACATAACTCTTTTACTGGATCAGGATCTTAGCTGGAAATTCTTTGGGAACAAGATCATGTCTTTATTTCTACTTTTACTTATTTATTTGTGCTTTATGCATGTGACCGGTAGTTACTGAAAAACACCCTGAAACAGTAATAGTAATATTACACAACCAATTTTGAACCTCAACAGTCTTAAAACTTCAATTCCAGCCCAAGGAAATTAAACAGAGACACATTTTAGAAGAAACAGAATATTAAAATTCCATATAGCTGATCTCATCTGTCAGAAATAGACTGAACAGTTAATCTGGCAAAAGAAAAAGTTAAAGTACCTTTTTAATGTGAAAGACGATTGCTCAAATGGTCTAACTCATTAGGTATATAATACCCAGGGCCTCTGCTGTAGAGATAGATAGCTTTGGAGATTACAACTGCTTTAAAATCAGTTGCTAAGAACTGGTGCCCAGAGCTTTCATTTGAACTTGATCCGAGCTTCCTGTACACAGTAACTGCATCTCCTCAGTAGTCATTTGCACTTCCACAGCCACCTTCTTTTAAAAGCTTAGAGCTTACTTTGGAGCAGATATGTTTCAATAGTACATGCTGGAGCTTCCTGTAATTGCTAAAAACACTCACCTTGAAATTTAAGATTTTAAGGTTGGAGTGAAATTCCAAAAACACACACAAAGCACTACAGTCCCACCACAAGCAATGCAGGTGAATTGGTGAGACCACATGCACTGTGCACTCTGTTGTGTCCTAGCAGGAGCATGTCTGGAAGAGAAGAAATTAGGACATTGCAAACTACAACAGTTTTGTGTTCAGTGTGAGGACAGCAAACTGATCATCAGGTCTTGGTATACCTACCTGCTTAATAGGCAGTCCTAGGAAAATCTGCCAGAGAAAAGTTTATGTTTCCCTGTGATAATCAATGTGCCCATAAAGAGGGGCTGGTAGGGCTGTCTCAGAGACAGGTAACTCCTCAAATTGTAATTTCCTTTGGTGTGAAAGACAAACAAGAGGGGAAAAAACTCCTGAACTTCCTCCCAATGTTACAAAGGTCCTAATTTGGCACAGGCAATAGAAAGCTACATGTGGTCCATTTTATACATTTTTTATTTTTTCTGGCATAAACCCAGTAGCTTTCTTTATGTGATGGCAGTGTTGCAAACTGAAGTGAATGTCAAGAGGAAGGCAGTTTGCTCATAGTGCACATTTGTAACCAAAACAAATCAGAAAGGGAGAAACTCCATTGATGACAATTTGAAGCCAGTAGTGCGCATACTTACTGGCTTACAATCAAAGTAAATACAACTTTGTGGATGTGCAGAGAAATCTTCTTCAGTGTTTAAAAGTGAGGCTAGTAGACAGTACAACCTGTACAAGGAAAGTATGGTCACTTCATTAAAACAAAGTTTTGTGGAAAGAATGGATATGAACTGCAACTTGTGTTGTCTGTGGTCACAAATATTGGCTGCTAGAAACCAGTTCAACTGGCAGGAGAGTGATCTTCCATTGATAGTTTGTTAACAAGATGCAAAAGTGGTGGTAGGGTGGCCCTTACAAAAGGATGGGTAAAAAAAAATGCAAAAAGGGTAGAAAAATTAAAATGTAGAAAGAACCTATTTAAAGAATTATTGTAAAGGAGAAGAGGGGGAAAAATGGAAAGAGCGTCTCTGAAGTTTACAGACAATGATAGGAGGAAGTTATGAGATCTTGACCATTTATTTTCAATTTTCTCATAAGAAACTCAAATCCTGCACTGTACATAACAAACCATCCAACATGACAGCTGGACGGGCATTGAATTGATGCTATTTTATGTGCTTTGAAAGAGGAAAAATCAAACTGGAATTTTAATTCTGTTTCAATTGATGTAAACAGCAGTGACCAACTGATATGTCAGGGAAACAATATCTTTGTTAATGCCTGAGTGCCTCCCACATTTACAGGGTCAGAAATAACAATAAGCCAAATCAAAGAAATTTCCATTGCTGGGATTTGAGTCAGGTCCAGCATACGTCACTAGAAATCCTACAAGGTCTTTGCCAAACCCACAAAGGACTGGAGTAATTCCATAGCTCCATTTGGACATTTCTGAGGTTAGGCAATGCCTCACTATCTGCTGGATGTCATGCAGATTAGCAGGAGGGTGGCTTGTCCAGTCACCTTTACAGTAACTAAAGCACCAGTAAAGGCAACAAATTAATTGACATTGCAGTACTCAAAATTAAGTCATCTTTAGTTCTATTACTTTAAGCTTCTCTATGTTCTCCCAATATTTCCCTGGTTTTGTTGCAACTAAGCTCCCTGACCCTTTTCATGGCTCAGTTGCCCAGAGCACTACTGTGGGTACGAGGGAAGGGATGGGAACAAATAGCTTGTGGAAGAAAGTGTAGGAAGGCTCTGCAACAGCCCCAGGTCAGACTGGTTTGTTCTGTCAGTGAACAAACACTAAAACACAAACCAGCAGAAATAAACCAGGCAGAGTAGCCTCACAGAGAATAATTTTATTCTCGATTGTTTAGTAACTCCACAAAACCAGTGGAAGAGGCATAGAAATAAAGTATTTGTTTTTGTTTGTCTTGGTAGGAGCAGGAGTTGAACTAGATGTAAATAGGTGTTAGAGCACTTTTGGCAGGTTTGTAGCCTGCATAACAGCTCTGTATAGAGATCCCTGAGCTGGCTCCAAGCAGGCTGGCAT